AATATCGTGGGAGAGAACGCGGAAAAGGGGTTTTAGAGTCGGTGGCGAAGCGGTGGGACGGTTTAAATTTGACACTTGGCTTTGGGCTGAGTTTTTGTAAAATATCTCGGAATCTAAGGCAGATGGCGAAATTTTCGTAATGACCTTTTTTGTAGAGCGAGTTGAGGGCTACGAAAAAGGTTCAGACTAAAATTTCGCTATCTGCGCTTGGTTCGGAGATATTTACTGAAAACTAAGCGGATTGCGGGGTTAAGAGACAAAAACATCATTTGAGACAATAGTGGCCGTTTTTTAAGACATTTTTGGGTTTCCGGTCTAAGTATTACGCACAAAATATTACGGTGAATAATGTAATGATAATGATATATTGATCAAAATTGTTAGAACTGTCTCTTTATGTGATTTCAATGAATATTATTGGAATTTGCAAATTATTGAGTGTTGATACTGTCATCTAATTATCCGCTTTGTTGATTTTACTTGAATTTTATTAGAAGACTGTAAAAATGACTTAAATTTGATGTCTTGAATGTCAAGAAATCTTTCTAAAAAAAAGCATGGGCGATATCTCGAACGAATGGAGAAAGTAAGGCGTCATTATCCTATCTTCCTATAAATTGTGTCTTAATTCAAGCCATTTGCCTACTAAAAATCAATTATCATAGATTACTAAATTTTTCCCGAGGATTCTGAGAAATATAAAACTGATGAAACCATCAAATCGCGTTAGCAATTTATTTTCCTTAATTTTCATTTCGCAAAAATGCCCCATGAAACGATTATCAAGTCTCATGAAAGAAAGTGGTTAACGAGCGTACGCATCAGACATACACCACACACACCAAGTTTTACCACCAACGACGTACCCATGATAGCAGGAACGCCTCGACACGCCTATGAGAGTTGCTAGCAAACGCTAAACCCGGTTTTTTTCCGGGTTGTACAAAACACTACATATCCTACTGCTTGATCATTATCTGACGCTAGCTTGTAAACAGGGAATGCTGTTTATATACGGTTCTGATTCGATTTGGTCCATCAAGTCTGGGCTGTTCTCTGACATTCACGATGTTTCGAAAAAAAACGTGTTGCTAGCGGAAATGAAGTCATTAGTTCCTGTTGCTCGGGAGGCGGATGAAAATTTATGGTCAACCCGCGTGGAACTGTGGACTATGCGCTTCATTTGAGATTCTTCGGTGATCGATTGAGCGACCTTGATGCCAAAATCATGACCCACATTCTGCTGGGAGGAATAAGAGAAAAATACTGGGATTGAATCTATTGAGTTGAAGGTTCAGAGCTGCTCATGAATTCTTCATTCGATACGTCACCGCAATATTTTTTTACTGTTTATCGAAATGGATGAAAAAACAGGTGGGAAATTGTGTTCGTCGCCATAAAGGATTGCCATTTTTTCTGATAAATTACACGGAAAAAGAATATACTTGACGCGAGTGTAAAATATACTTCAATTGGAAGATGATTGTTTTGTGTCAGAATATAAGGGTCAAAAAGTGGAGGTTAAAAAATGAGGGGCAGAATATTAGGGTCAAAACATTAGGGTCAGAATATAAAAGCCCTCATTGCCTCACACCCACTTTTTTTACTTTTACATTCCGACCCTCATTCCTTCACCTTTACATTCAGGCCCTCAGTTTTTGACTCTAATATTCCGACCCTCATTTTTTAACCTCCACTTTTTGATCCTTATATTCTCACACTCAGTGTCTGGCCCTTATATTACACTTGAGACGGCTTGGCATCATTTAACATCAGTAATAACTAACGCTAATACTAAAATGCTAAAATCAACTAAACAATAAACAAATACACTGAATAAATTCGAGAGTCACAAAGTCACCACAGTTTAAGAAAAACCAAATATTGTTCAGTAATTTTTTATATACCTTTTTTTTATTTGTCAATAGCTGTAAATACATGTAAATACTCTAAATACATGTAAATACCTTTCTAATAAAAAAATGGTTAAAAAAGAGCGCTTGGTATAACTCGGGCTGATACCCGGTATAAAATTCGAAAAATACGAAACGTTTGAAATTATCCTATAAATCACAACAGCGAAAATTAGAGCAATTAATTGAACTTTGAATGATATCGATAAAACTTGAATGTGAACTATGCCAAAAATTCCCCTCGGAAGCACCAAAAAATGAGGAATCGAAAAATTTGGAATTGCTGTCAGCAATTTTTTCCAATTCCCAAATTTATATTGAAAACTCTCCAAAGATCTTCCGAAAGGTTTTCATCAATCGTCGGAATTACCCCATTAATCACCCAAAAAACAATAAATGAAACCATCCATTCTCCCCCTCGAGACAAAAATTAATGTTCCCCATGAATGATTATGATTGACTGCAACCCCACGATTTATGGATTGACCAACTGATTAAATTCAAATTACGATGCACAGTAGGTTATGATAGAGATCGTACATCTACACTGGTGCGACAGGTGCGCATTAACTCTGCATTTAGGATCAACCGATGTACGATGAATACGTGATGGTTTTTCACACGTGTTACAAGCTGTGTCTCGTATGAGTTTTTCGCCGTAAAAGGTGAATGGTTGAAGAGAGTAGGTGAAATCGTACCTATGAAAAATTGGAAAGGAAAGTTATCATGACGATTGTGATGTGATTCCTCCTCCTTTATGGGAACGTGTAAATTTATGACTTTGGAGCGTTGGAATGCGAATGAAGATACAAATATCACTGGTGTCAGGTATGAGGTGCAGGAATTCATGAATTTATGAAGTCTTTTTCCCTCACACATTCGTGGATTTTCTGCTTAACATTTCGAAAGTCTTGCAATGAGACGTTTTTTCGTCTAAAAACAAGACGTTGAAGTCCTTTTTCCTGCCAGATTCGATATTCTTTCATCGAAAGGGATGGCGGAAGTAATCCAAATACTAATGAAAAAAACTATTTGTTCTCAGAATAATTTTTCATGAAATAAAGGGTAAATTTTACAGTTTCGTCTCAAATTATCCTCACGTTCAATCAATTTTCCCAGGCCAACGGAGAAAAATTCCCCATTCGTCTCGCACTTTTTCCCCAATAAATAATACTCCGTAACCTTGAATGACAACAAACCAATCCCATAAAATCCAGATCATCCGGAAAAGCCTCGGTACATGTCATCACACTGACTCACGCACCTCCTTGGCAAGCTAACTGTCGCAAAATGCGACAAGGACGCGTCTTGCCGCGATGCGTGTGTGCCACCGCGGGCAGTCTGTTTCGCATCCTATCGATCGTAACTACCGATCGATCTCCTCAAAGACGTGATCGCGAATAAATCGTTATTCCCCGGGTTTTTACACGTCCGCGAGAAACAAACATCCACGAGCCCCGGTATACAGGTATATATTGGTTATCCTCTTATACGACATATCGTACATGTTTGTACATTTATAAGACAGTGGACGGCGCCGATTTGTAATCGAGATTAGAATCGATCCACTTGGTGGGGTACCAGCGGCATTTCTATGAAGTGATCCCAGTCAATAATACCAATCCGATGGGAGGAAGCCCCCACATGCCATGTTGCGACTACTTGCCAACGATTGAAGAATCACATTTCACGTTCTTCTCTGCTTCTTTTTTCAGCTCGATTATTCTTATTCATTTATTTAGTTTTTTTTTTGTCAGTTCTGTAATGTACAACTCGTCTGTCATGACCAAGACCAAGTAGACGCGTCGTAATAAATCTTGACAGAAGTCAATTTCAAATTATTTTGTATTTCTCATTTTTTCATTTCATTATTGATCTTTTTTTTGGTTTTTTTGATATTTCGGTCCGTTTTTTATGATAATTTTTTGTATCTCACATTATATTATTATTATTATTATTATTATTATTATTATTATTATTATTATTATTATAGTTTTTATTGAATCCCTGAGGCACATAAAATCTCCTAAAGGCAAGCAAAATTTGTAATTGGTAATTTTGCATAAAAAGTCCTATGATTTCATGTCTTAAGGGGTTGATAACTTGTAATAGTGCCAGGTCATAGATGAATAGTGACTGAATAGTCTGCAAGTGTCTCGAATTGAGACTGAAAAAATCTCTGAAACCTGGTGACTTGAATTTCAAGACATTATGAGAATGTCTTGTGTATTAAATTTCTTGTTTTTAGACGGGAGAAATTTTTTTTTAAGACATTCAAAATTTTAGGGGTTAGAAAGTTATCCGATAAGACCCATTTTTGTGGCTAACGTCTTAAATTCAGTAGCGAAGTGGTAAGAGGAGATAACTCAATTTTGACTATTGACCGGTTTTCAATCAGTATCTCGGAATCTAAGGGAGATAGCGAAATTTTTGTTATAACCTTTTTTGTGGAGCCGATTGAGTGGTACAATTAATGTAACTACGAGAATTTCGCAATCTCCCATAGATTCCGAGATATTGATGGAAAACTGGTCAATAGTCAATATTGACTTATCTCCTTTTACCACTTCGCTACTGATTTAATTTCTTATTTAATATAAATTTGTGATTATTTATTTTTCAGTGTCTCCCGCACTGCCCCTCGTCGATGTTGTACGGGGTCGAGACCCCGATAGGGACAGGAAGAGGGAGCACATATGTGATAGAGAGTCCCATCAGTCCGGCCAGGAGCGAGAAACGAGAGAAACCCGGGAAAAACACAGAGACAGGGAGCGGGACAGACTGCGGGAACGGGAACGTGACGTATCGGTCTGTGGAATTGAACCACCTGATCCCGTTTTCGTATCGTCCTCAGCGGCTCTACTCGCGCTGCAGAGGATAAAGGAGGCCTCGCTGTAAGTACACAATGGTGTTCGAGTTGGTGCGAGGGGGGAGGGGGGAGGATGAGTGATTCAACTCGCCGAATTCGGTAATCGATACATTTTTCGAGGTGGGGGGCGCAAAATCGGAGATCGGGGAATGCAGATAATGAAATCCCGCGGTGAAAGTTTTTATTTCGCAAAAATGAAAAGAGAAATTCTTGACCTTTTGGCGGTTTTTGGAATTGGTCTGATTTCTAGGAGACAATTTTTTTATTTGGATTCGGAGGTTTAGAGCTTTTTAGAGGTCAGTGGAAGCGTGAGGTTGCAGAAGAATTTAATGGTTCCTGAAGAATTAAATGTGAATGTTCAGTATTTTATAATGAAAAAGGAAAATATTGGAATTTAATGGGAAATATTGATCGATTTCGTAATTAAATTGATATATAACTGTTCAAGAATAATATTTCCGTCCACTATCAACAATTTTCTGTGACAAAAGCTATTAACATCCTCACAAAAGTTTAAAGTTTATGAATTTATAATTAAATTGATAATAATTTAAGAATAATATTTTCTTCCACTATTTTTGGAATTCGCGAATTGATTTCTCAGTGGAGACAATTTTCTGATTTGAGTTAAATGTCTGGAATTTTTTTGCGGTCAATGGAATCGTGAAGTTGAAGAGAAATTAATTCTCCCTCATGAATTAAACACAGAAAATAAAAATAAAAAAAATATTGAGTGGAAAATATTGTTTATAAAATTAATCTACTCTTCTACAATTGAAATTCATAATGAAATTGATGATTAACAATTCAATAACAATATGTCCATCTACAACAAACAATTCCCCATAAAAAAAATCCCAACATCCTCGCAGTTCCATTTTTTGTCCCCCATAAATCCCGGTATCATTCTCACGTGATAGTTCCAACAAACTGCGTGTTTTCCAGTATGCACAAACCCAGCACCCGCATACAGCAACGGCGGGGTTCTAGGAGATGTGCGCCCTCCCGCAGTGAATTCTCATCCGCTCAAGATACTTTACGAGAAAATTCAACATCTCCCGGCAAAACAGCGAGCTTCCCTCCCTTTAACCTTTTTTCTCCGGCTCGTACGTATCTATCGGATCGCGAAAGACTTCCTCGAGGGTCGAGGCTAAAATGCGAAACGGATAGGAGAGATGTTAGCATGCCACAACTGTACATATATATGACGGTTGTTGAGAACATGAGAGCCGGAAAAGGGCTGTGCGACAGGGGTTAGGGGGATTCAACGAATTATGTTGTCCAAGGTCTTTCGCGTTGTTTGTCATATACACTTGCACACAGGAAAAAATAAAATTTCAATTTTCATGCAACAATTGAAGTAAAATCAACTATTTTCAATCATCAAATTTGTCAATTTTAATTGACAAATTAAAATTGCCGATTTATCGCGTAAGAAAAATTAGAAAAAATCATGAATATTCAGCGTCCCTCAAATTACGTTTTCCACGCGATTATTATTTTTTCACACATTCGTTGTTAATAAATAAATAATCGGCATTGTTTAAAATTGCAAAAATCAGAATATTAATAAACTTGTTCCGATTTCAAACAAATCATTTTTATAATAGAAAATTAATTATTTATAAATTATTCATAGATGTCGATCATAATGTAAGGGTCAAATCCTTGTAATATTACAGAAATTTAATACTGATGGGGATCCCTGATCGAGATTCAAATTCAGACCTGTAAAGTTTGAATAATAAAATCACAGTAAAATATCGGGAAACTGAGGGTCAAATGGGGTTCAAATAAACGCTCTGATGTTCGAGAAAAAATATTCAAAGTACTTGGATATCCTCAAAAACGTGAAATCTCTAAAAAAAATCCTAGACCCCAAATCGCGTGGCTTTTATGCTGATTTCACCGCAAAAAAACATTCCGAGACGAAAAGGTTCAGATGAGATTGCTCAAGTTGAGTCTGTACCCGAGTCGTTAGACGTTGCGACGAAGGGATTTCATCATGATGTCTCTGGCCGTCCAATCCGAGTCTTGGGCCGCGCACGCCTGTCCAGCTTAGCCACAAGAGAGGCAAAACCCGAGCTTAAAACTCCCAGGCTATTCCGCTGGGAGTCATTTCACGGTGGGAAAACCGGCCTCTTGATCTCGATACTCTTACCCAGTTGGATTGGTAACCCTCTGGGCGTCCAGACCTAAAGGGATATATCAGACTGGAAATAAACCTCTCGTATCAATGCATTTCACTGTATAAACTCCGGTTAAAGTACGACATCAAATGTCTCACAGCGTGTCCACCCGTGGTAACGCGATTTATGCTAGTTTAACCGCTGCCTCATGATGTTGTTTATGACTGGGATACCCTGCCCCGTCGCTTCTACATTTCGATGAAATACGAGTCAGTTAAGTGAATTATGTTCGTTAAAGACATTTCCAACCGCGTGAAAATAATAAAATGTATTCTTTGTTGGATCAGTACATGATGATCGCTAAAAAATATTGTTTTATTCGAAATTAATGAACTATTCATTTCAGGTAATTAAAAGATTTTCGGTGAAATCAATGAATTCATGAATTTGCAAAAAAATATTTGAGTTAGTAAATAAAATTCAATAGTTTCTGACGGAAAAAATCATGAAATAGCAGATTTCACTGGAAATGGAGTGAAATTCCTCATTTTTCAGCTGCAAAAAGACGAGAATTCTCAAGTTTACTCGAATTTTCAATTGAGTAGAAATCTAAAAAAACATTTACCTGAATTTTCATGAATTTTCATGGAATAATTAAACTGAAATTAACAGTCTCCATCGATTTTTTCACAAAATTTTGAATTTTCCATGACGAAGTTTTAGTGGAACTCCTACATCCTCGAAATTTGCACAGACTATTTAATTAAAATGCGTCATTTCTCTGGGTAAATAATTTAATCTATTCTTTGCACTATTTAATAGACAATAATTCAGAAAAATATTAATTGATTCAAATAGAGGTTTTGTTTGAAATGAATGAATCATTCATTTAATATAATTAAAACATCTCTAAAATATTATTGAAATGCATAGAAAAATTTCAAATAAATAATTTCAAGCTGTTGCCAAAAGTCAAAATTTTCCGTTACCCCGTGAAGAAATACCAATCACGAAATCCAATTCCCGGTGATTCGATTATCGAAACGCCAGTGAGAATAATAAAGTGATCGCACGATTGCCGGTATGGATGTATTATTAAGCGAGTTTATTGGTGCATAACCGAGACAAAACCGCCTCTCCTCATCGTGCTGCCGGTTTATTCCCCCTCCGCTCCCCCCTCCCCTCCCCATCCCCCGCGACCGTGTGTGGAAAGCAAAGAGAAATTACACCCAGTCGTGAGTTTTTTTCCAGTGTTAAAACACATGAACAAGAGGGAGAGACTAGTAATCGATCTGAAGTCTACACCAATCCGCGGATGAAGACGTCTTGTACGATATTATTCCCATGATTATCGATATTCCTGATGGGCGACTGGCGGTGATACCCGTCAAATTTCTTGCGCGTTATAATCGACTGCTCCCAGTGGAGGATAAATTACGCGATAAAGTGCAGGGACAATGTGGGAGATGTCCAAATTTGGCTGCAAAGTCGCGGTGCATCTCCATCGATCTTGATCACTGCCAATGCCACCTCATTCACATACGCATTGTTGATGTCCCGTTGCACCGCAAATGACAGTGCCGGGTATTCCTCGGTGTTTTGAGTTATGAGAGCTAACCTTATTACTCTTTTCCTCCCAGGGTATTTCACAAGCGGCCGACGCTGACACCAGGAATTGGATTGGGCGGACGTGGTAACAGCGGGGTTACCAGTAACGGTGGTAGTCTCGGTGTTGACGCTGACTGTGGTGATGCCCTCAAGCGGCGCAAGGTCCACAGGTGCGACGTCGCCGGATGTGACAAGGTTTACACCAAGAGTTCGCATCTCAAGGCGCACAAGAGGACACATACCGGTAAGTTTTTTGTTTATTATTTTAATTGTGGGGGCGACTTAGGGAGGCTCCCCAGGAATTTTCGGCACAAAACGATAATTTGATAGCGAGGTGAATATGTCATATGATAATCAAGAATGGGACAATATGAATTCAGTAGCGAAGCGGTAAACCGGGTTAAATCGATTTTTACTATTGGCTAGTTTTTGACGAATATCTCGGAATCTAAAAAAGATAGAAAGATTTTTGTCATGACCTTTTTTGTAGAGCCAATAGAGCGTTATAAAAAAAGTCATGAGAAAAATTTTGCTATCTCTCTTAGATTCCGAGATATTCAGCAAAAACTGGCTAATAGTCAAAATCGACTTAACTCGGTTTACCGCTGCAATACTGAATTTCATCCAGAGAATTTTATCTGAACCAACTATCATTCGGTTGTTAATTTTCAAATAAACATGAGTTCATAGTGAATACCAGTTATCTCTTCGTGAGATACATTTGATTGGGAGAAATCGAACTTCTCTAGAATTGAAGTTCCTTTTATTTGTCGCAATAATGAGAGTATTTGATTTCTTTCTAGCCAAAAGTTTGCCAACTCCAGAAATTCGTTGGTTTACTCAAAAATCAAAATTATTCTCATGACTAAATACGTTGTTATCTCAATCAACACGATCATACGTTGTTCCAAGTAAATTATAATTGAAGTGAGCATTTCGTATGTCGAATCAGGATGAATATTGTTACGCGGAAAAAGCTTTGAGATTGTAGTAAGATGTCGTTGAGTTGAAAGAAGTTTATATTTCTTGACTAAAAAAATCGCATTAGTTTACAATAACAGAATCACAGATTACGGCAATTCAACACAAATTTGGATATCACAAATTTCGTTCAATGTGATGTACGGAAAGCTCAATTTAAACATCGGCTTCATTCGAGAAAACAACATTCAATTCATTCCTCAATGTAATCATCTCCTAGGTACGAATTTTT